ACACACAATTTTTATTTCCCACTAGGGATTGAACTCTGGGTTACTTAACTACTAAGCCACATCTTCAGCCCTTTTTATTTTTTCTTTTGATACAGGGTCTGGCTAAGTTGCTGAGGCTGGCTTTGAACATGCAATACTCCTTAGCAACCGGCATTACAGGCACGCATCACTACACCCAGCTTATTCTATATTCTCTAATGAACTTTTAAAATCTTTTATTCATTTTAAATTTGGGTTTTTTATCTTATTGATTCACAGGAGTTATATTTATATGTCTTGGGCATGAGTCTTCTATAAAGATGTGATTTGCAGAGATGTTTTTTGTAGGTATTTTTTCCTTCTATGAATTGCTTTTCATTTGTGGGGAGGAGGTGGCTATTGGGAATTTAGCTCAGGAGTGCTTTACCTTTTTATTTTTTATTTTGATACAGTATATTGCCAAGTTGCTGAGGTGGCCTTGAATTTGGGATTTTTCTGTCTGAGCCTCCCAAATCTTTGGGATTACAGGTATACGCCACCACACCTGGCACTTTTCATTTTCTAACAAGGTCATTTAAAGAGCAAAAGATTTTATTTGTGAAATCCAGTTTATTCACTGTTTCTTTTATAAAGTTTTTGTTTTTCATAATCCATTTAGGAAAATTTTGTGTAATCCAAGATCACAGAAATATTCTCATATTTACTGCTAGTAATACATTTAGATGTATGATGTGTTTTGAGATATGAGGAAAGGGTCAAATATCACTTTTCTGGCATATTGATATGCAGTTGTAGAATACCTGTGTTGAAAAGAATGCATCCTTTCTCCCCCATGAATTGTATTGATAACTCTTTGAGAAGCAGTTGGCCATACCTGTATATCTATTTCTGGATATTCCTACGTGTCATATCTACATTAGGTTAGTAAATACTGTCTTGATTACTCTATCTTTATAGTAAAAATGGAAGGAAATCAGGTAATGTTCTGATTCATGAACATGGTATAGGTTTATTTAGGTCTTTAATTTCATCAATGTATTGTGTTTGTCACTGCACAGCCTTAAATACATTTTGTTATATTTATCCTTAAGGATTTAGTGTTTCTGATATTTGTGATAGTCATTTTTTCCCCTTTCTATAACAAATACCTGAGGTAATCAACCTATAAAGAGAAAAGGTTTATTCTTGCTCAAATTTTAATTAGAGGTTTCAGACGTGAGCAATTGGCCCTGTTGTTGTAGGGCTGTGACAAAGCCACATACCTTAGTGGAACCTCAAAGTGATACGGAATGGCTCACCTCATAGCCAGGCAGTAAAAGAGATGGGGGAAAAAAAAGAAGAGGAAGACACTGGGGTTCCACAGTTCCTTTAAGGACACACCCCCAATGACCTGAAGACCTCCCAGTGGATCCTACCTCTTAAAGTCTTTTTCTACTGCTTACTAATAATGCCACTGTGGATATCAAGCATTGATCACATGGACCTTTGGTCTACTTAAGAATACAGATTATAGCAATGTTATTCACACAGCCAGGGCACTTTTTCACTGAGCATGCTAGCCCTTTTCTTAAAAGACAAAAAAAAAAAAAAAAGTTTTTTTTTTAAATTTCAGACAAGGTCTTGTTTAATTCTAAGACTGTCCTCAAATTTGTGATTGTCCCAAGTTGCTGGCGTTAGAGGTGTGTATCACCACACCTGGCTCTTACTTATTAGTACTGTTAACTTCTTAGTAGATACTTTGGCTTTGTCTTCATAGGTGATCATGGTGTCTGAAAATAAGGCCTGCTATTACTCCTTCCTTTCCACGTTATATACCTTTTACTTCTTTTTTTTTTATTTATTGAATTGATAAGGACCACCAGTAAGTACAGTGTTGAATAATAGTGGTGAGACATCCTTGACTCATTGTTAATCATAGAAAGCATTCAAATTCCGTTTTGTATTTCTATTTTGCAGATTTATTATTAATGAGTATTGAATGTTATCAAACATTGGGTCATATGAGATATTCTTTTTTATTTGCTTTAATTAATAAAGCAATTATATCGAATAAGTTAACCTTAAATTCCTAAGATAAGCTCTACTCATTCATGGTATATATCCTTATATAATTGTGTTTGATTTGCTGATATTTTTGAGGGATTTGTTTTTTAGTTTGCATAAGGTATATTGGTCTGAATATTTTTTGTAGAAGGCATAGTCTGATTTTGGTATTGGGCAATGGTGTCCTCATAAAAGTGTTCCTGCCTCTTTTCTTCAGGAGAGTTTGTGTATAATTGGCATTATTTCTTCCCTGAAATATTTTATGGGCCTCACCGTTGGAGCCATCTTTACCTGGAGTTTTTTTTTTTTAATTATGAATTTAATTTCTTTAATAAATACAGAGCTTTTGAGGTGATCTTTCCTGAGTGAGCTTTGGTGTTTGTGTCTTTGATGGAACTTGTGTATTTCATAATAATTTATTGAACTTATTTGCATGTATTAGTAATATCCCTTTGTCTTTTATGTATTCATAGTATCTGCATGTTGTTCCTTTTTCATTGTTCATGTGGGTATAGTTTTGTTTTATTTCTAATTGATCTGTCTAGAGATTTATCAATTTTATTGATCTTTTTAAAGAACAAGTTTTCTGTTTCAATTAATTTTTCTTGACTTTTTAGTTTGGATATAGTCCTTTAATCTTCTATAATTCTGGTGTAATTTCTTTTTTTCTGATAACAAATTGTGTATAATTTTAATTTTCTTTAAATTTGTTTAAAGTTTTAAATTTGTTATCTTGGTGAATATTCTGTGTGCCTTTGAAAATAATGAGTATTCTATTCTAGATGGGAAAGCTTATTTGTCAATGTCAATTAGATCCACTATTGCTAATTTTCTTTCTTAGAGAGTAGTTGAAGCCTACTTGAATTTATTTCTTGAATTTGTTAGAATTTCTTCAGTCAGTTCTATCAAGTTTTGCTTCATGTGTTTTATAGTTCTCTGTTGGTTATATATGTATTTATGATTTATATGTCTTAGTGAATTGACCCTTTTATCAACAAGTAATATGTATGTTTTTCTGCTCTGAGATCTGTACTAATATTAATATAGCCACTTTAGCTTTCCTTTGATTAGTACACTTACATGGCATACTGTTTTTCTATGCATTTATTTTAACTTACCTATATTAATATATCTGAAGCGAATTTCTTCATGTCCATTCTTCTCCTCTTTTTTGACAATCTCTGTTTGGTTAGTGTATTTAAAACATTAGTATTTCATAATTTTTGGTATTTTGAATTAGATCTGTCATTTTTTGCTTAGTTTCCACTGTACTTCATTCCTCAATTTCCTTTTCCTGCCTTCTGTTGGGTTATTTGTACATTTTTATACATTCTATTTTAATTATCTACTGTGATTTTGGTTTTACTTTGTATAGTTTATATGGTGGTTGATCTAGTGATTATAGTTTACATCTCAGGACCAGAACCTAATTATATATTAAATGATTAATATTTGTTGATTAAAGCAATATTTTTGGAATATAATTGTGATTTTTATGACATAAGTGCTAACTTTTTTCCAAGTAGAGATTTAAAAAATAAAGTTTCATAATATAATCTATTTAATATATTGCCTATAGTATTTTAATATTCACCACACTCCTTTAGTTCACTAGTAACTTGTTTTGCTTCATCTATAAAGGAGAGATTACTATTACTTTCTTAGTTTCACTTAAGCTGATGATTTGTGTTACTATAATGCTCAGTTTTGAGTTTGTGTTTTATGACTTATATAATTCTATCTCTGCCTAAGATTTACACATAGCCAGCTTTGAAGACACTGATGTTTAAATGATTCTGTTTATTTGGTAATAGTTGAAACAGTTGAGTGGCCCTAAGGTATAAGCTGTATTTTTTCTCTGTAAAGTCAAGAAAACATCAAAACCAAAATTTTAACCAGTAGAACAATTTCAAGAGCATAGTAGATTTCATTAATATTTGATTGACAGTGTTTAGATTTTAATTATTCACAGAATGACAGTTTTCTTGGACCAATGATATTCACGTATAAGAAATTTATAGCATGAAGAGTTAAAAATAAACTCATAAGTCATTCTGCTTATTGTGTGGCTCTTGGCCAGGAGCCTCTGTCTAACCCAATACAGTGCACTAAAGCTTTCTGGGATGATAGAATTATATATCTGCAGTGTAAATTGCAATAGCTACTCTAATGTCATCTAATTTTAATTAAGCTTTAAATTGCCACGCATAGCTAATAGCTCATCAGACAGCAAAACAAGTCTAGCATCATCTTCCTCTTTTACATATAAAACCTCAAAAACTTTTTCTAGCTTTCTCAAGCATAACCTTGTCTTAAGTATAACTTTTGGCAGGATACAGAGTAGGAGAGAATAGGCTGAACAAATTGGAAATCAAATGGTGCAAATAGTAATAATTACAATACAACATAAATATTGTATTGGTGAACAGGTTAATAAAATTATTAAATGTCTTGGGATATTCAATGAAGAATTAAAAATTATACTAGGGATTTTAAGTAGGAAAGGCTTAATATAGGAAATTACATGATGTAAAATAACCAATCAGACTAATTAGGTTCTTGGTTGAATCTTCAGAAATGAATTCCGGCCAACACAGAACTAGTAGGGAATGTATTTGGAGATTTCACTGCTTGTGGTTATTCAGAAAGCAAAAGGTATTCGTAGTGTAGAGAAGATGGGAAATAACATGATTTTCTTTTTTGTCAGTGACTAGTTAAGTGGACTTGAACAACAGAACTTTAATTAGAACCTCAAATTGTTAAGTAAAAACTTATTTTAGGTTGGAATAGCTTTGAGGAAATAAATGATCTTATAGAGACATGGAGAAAACAAAAAATTGGACTAATCGTGGTGCCTAATTTAATTGTGGTGCCTAACTTTAAGAGGTTCTATTGTGTATGTGTGTGTATACACACACACACACACACACATATATACACACACACTCACAAATAACTCATATATCCATTCTTTACAGATCCAGGATGAGAAGACTGATAGAAGAAGCTAGCTGAACAGCTATAAAATGCCCAAATCTGGGTTTGCAAAACCAGTTCAGAGTGAAAATTCTGACAGTGACAGCAATATGGTAGAGAAGCCATATGGAAGAAAGGTACATGATTGTAACTTAAGTTGTTTTTACTCTTTTGGAACTGGGGAAAATGACACCAAATTTGGTAGTTTTAATAATTACTCATAAAATAAAAAGCCACATTGATGTCCGATGTGTTTGTCAGCTTTCCATTAGTATAACACATTTACCTGAGGTGATTTGCAATGAAGAAAGGTTTAAAAGTTTATTTTGGCTCACAGTTTTGCAGGTTTCTGTGCATGGGCAGTTGAGCCCACTGCTTTAAGTTCTGTGGTGAGGCAATAAGTGGTTTTTGGAGGAGCTGAGACATTTACCTCATGGCCAGTAAAAGAAAAGAAGAGATAGGGCTGGATTCCCATTATCTTTTTGAGGGCATGCACCGCATGACCTAAGGTTTAGTACTGGGCACCACCTCTTAAAGGTTCCACTTCCTCTTAATTCTACTGTGTATGCTGGGGACACAGCCCTTAAACACATGGGCCTCTGGGGGGCATTCTATGTCTAAACCATAATACCAGGTAAGTCCAAACTATTTATCGAAGCACCAGAAATCAGTTGGATTCCTGAGGATACAATTATTTCATTCCCTGATATGAACATGGTTACAACTAAAAAATAATTAATCACAAGAAAGGGGGAAGTGCCAAGACTTCACAGTTATTTGGCATTTCTTTCCCTACCTCCTAATCTTTGTTGACAAAACACATATACACACTAGCCACCACATTTTCCAGGTCTGTAACTTGGGTAAATTTATATAACTTCTCCATCCTCAGTATTTCTATGTCTAATAGAGGGAAATAATGCTTTAAATGGTTGTTTTGTTGGAGAAATAGCATATTATAGTTAACACAAGGGTTGACACAAAGTAAATGCTTAATAAATGTTAGCAGTTGTCTTAGTAATTAGTGCCAATGACAGGTGATTCTTTTTCCATCTGTCCTTCTCCATCCTATTTTATTTAGATACCCAGAACCTATAAACTAATGTCTTCTAACTGATCTCATTATCTCTAATTTCCTTTTCTAGTTGGTTTTATATATTATGTCAAATTTTTCTTTGTTTTTTTTTTGTTTTGAGTCTATTTCTTTTAAAGCCATTTTCTTGTTGAAGGACATCTGAGGTTTCCCCTGGTTTTTTGCTAACAGATCCGTACAGCTGTCATCACAATCTAGTTTTACACTATTTCCATCACTGTGAAAAGATCCTTGTTGCCTGTTTGCAGTTGGTCCCCACTCTTATCCCATCCCCAGGAAATCTTAAATCTGCTTTCAAACTTCAAGAAGTATCTGTTTTCATATTGTCTTCTTTTCAAAATAGTTTTGGCTATTCGGGGTCCATTGAAAGAATAGCCTATTAGGATTTTAATGGGAATTTTATTGAAGCTGTGTATTGAATCTTTTATTTTTTAGTTGTAGCTGGACACAATACCTTTATTTTTATTTATTTTTATGGGGTGCTGAGGATTGAACCTAGGGCCTCTCACATGCTAGGTGAGCACTCTACCACTGAGCCACAACCCCAGCCCTGTGTATTGAATCTTTAGGTCATTTTGGGTAGTATCTCCATCTTAACAATATTGTCTTCCAATATACGAGCTTGTTTGGTCCACTTATTTAGGTCCTTTTCAGTTTTTCTTAAAACTATGTGGTAGTTTTCAGTGTTCAAATTTAGTACTTTTATTGTTAAATTATTTACAAGTATTTTTTATGTCAATGCTATTTTAGATACTTTCATTTTAGATTTTTTGTTGATAAAATAGAAATACAACTTAATTTTATATAATGATCTTGTATCCTGTGACCTTACTTGTTTATTGGCTCTAAGAGTTTATGATTGCTTAGGATTTTCTACATGTGAGATCATATCATCTGTGACTTAAGATAATTTTACTTATTTGCCAGTCTGGATTTTATGTTTTCTTTCCTGATTGTACTGGCAGTCCCGGGCATTTACATATTTAGTCCACTGACATTTAACATAATTATTGATGTGGTTTTTATCTAGTCAGAGTTTATATCTATTATTTTTCTTTTTGTTCATACATGTTTCTTCTTCTGTGTTGCCTTTTTTTGTTTTAAATACTTTTCAGTATTTTTATTTTTCTGATTTTTATTTTATTTATTTATTTATTTGGTTTTCAGTACTAGGGATTGAATCTAGGATTACCCTATCACTGAGGTACAATCTCCAACCTTTTTTTTTCCAGTCTTTTTTAAGATAGGTTCTTGCTGAATTGTCCAGGTTGGCCTCAAACTTTTTATTTGTTTATTTATTTTAGGATACATTGTAATTATGCACAAGAAAGGAATTTGTTGTTACATATTTGTACATATTATAATTTGGTCAATTTTGTTCCCCATTACTTCTTGCTTTCCTCTACTCTACTATTCTCCTTTCTATTTTCACGAGACCTCTGCTATATATAAACACACACACACACACACACACACTCTCTCTCTCTCACCCTCTCACCTTCTTTTCCTCTTTTATTTCTCTCTAGCTTCTACATGGGAGAGAAAACACATGAACCAGTCAATTTTTAGTGTGTCTTAGTTCACTTCACATATGCTCTCAAGTTGTATCTGTTAACCTGCAAATGATATAACTTCACTCTGAATTGTGTTTATAAACCACACTTTTCTTTATCAAACTGTTTACAGATACCTAGGCTGGTTCCATAATTTGCTGTTGTAATTTGCTGCTGTAAACATGGTCATGCATCTATTGCTACAGTATGCTGACTTTAATTCTTTAAGATAAATGCTAAGGAGTGGTATAGCTGGATCACATGGGGATTTCATTCCTTGTCTTTTGATGAACCTCCATACTGCTTTTCACCCACTTGTCAAAAGAAACGAACTTTATTTTTAGAACCACACAGGCAAAACAAAACCGCTCCTCAGGAAAAACCCTCAGAGCCCAACTGCCACCACCGGCTTCCCACAAGCCTCTCCACCTCCCACAATCCTCCTGCTCTTGAGGCCCATTGGCTGGGTCGTGTGGGTGGAGCCAAAAAAGTCCCCCAATGAGCAGCTCCGTGGTCTGAAAGGGCAGGGAAACAGCCCAATGAGCATCACTGCAGAGGAGCCAATCAGCTAGATTTTGCTGGGGTGCTGTGAGCCAATCATCAGCTGGCAGTCTGAAAGTTTGCTGGGGCCCCTTCGGCTGTGGCTCTCAACAGCTTTTCACCCACCAAAGTGTTCCTTTTTTCCCATATCCCCTCTAGTGTTTATTATTATTTGTATTCTTGATGGCTGCCATTCTGACTGGAGTGTGTTGAAATCTCAGTGTAGTTTTGATTTGCATTTTCCTAATTGCTAAAGATATTGGACATTTTTTTCATACATTTGTTGGCAATTCTATTTCTTCTTTTGAGAAATATCTTTAGTTCATTTCCTTATTCATTGATTGGGTTGTTTCTTTGGTGGGGTTTTTTTTTTTTTTGGAGTTATTTATATATTCTGGATATTGATTCTCTGTCAGAGAGTAGTAAAGATTTTCCTCCTGTATTTTAGTTTTTCTTCTTCATGCTTCTAATTTTTTGCTGTGCAGAAGCTTACTTCCCTCCCCTGACCCACATCCCCTTTGGGACTGGTTTCATTGGCCCTGTGTTTTCTTCTAGGAGTTGTGTAATTTCTGGTCTAATTCTTAGATCTTTGATCTGTTATGAGTTGATTTTTGTGTAGGATGAGAGATAAAGACCTATTCTCATTCTGATACATATGGATAACTAGTTTAACAGCACCATTTGTTAAAGAGGCTGTCTTTTCTCTAGTGTATGTTTCGGCACCTCTATTAAGGATCAGATTACTGTATCTGTATGTACTTGTGTCTTCTATTCTTTACCATAGGTCATCAGGTATTGTGATACCTCCAGCATTGTTTTTTTTGGCTTAGAATTGCTTTGGCTGTTTGGGTGTTTATTCTTTCGAATGAATTTTAGGACTGTGTTTTTTAGTTCTGTGACCAAAGTCATTGGTATTCTGGTGGAAATTGCATTGAATCTGTATATTGCTTTTGGTAGTGTGGCCATTTTAATAAATATTAATTCTACCTATCCATGAACATGTAAGATCTTTCCATCTCCTGAAGTCTTCAATTTCTGTCCTCACCTCCTTGATTAGATTTATTTCTAGGTGTTTTCACCTCCGTGATTAGATTTATTTCTAAGTGTTTTCTTAGATTCATCATTAGTTCATAGGAAAGCTTTTTATTTTTATTTGTTGAATTTGTAACTAGCTACTCACAGAATTTGCTTTTTAACAGTAGCAGTCTTTTGGTTGAGTTTTTGGATCTTGTAAGTACAGGATCATGTCATTTGCAAATGATAATAATTTGACATCTTCTTCTCCTATTTTTATCCCTTTTGTTTTCTTCTCTTGCCTGATTCCTCTGGCTAGAATTTTTAGTACTATAATAAATAGGAGTGATGTAAGTAGATATACTTGTTTTGTTCCAAATTTCAAAGGAAATGCTTTTTAGTTTTTCCCCATTCATTATGATGTTGGCTTTGGGCTTTTTGTATATAGCCTCTATGATGTTAAGATAGGTTCCTTCTCTTTCTGAGGTTGGTGTCTTCAGTGTTTGTTTTTTTTTTTTTTTTCCACAAATGGGTGCTGAATTTTTAATTTTGTTGAAGGCTTTCTCTGTATCTATTGACATGTCTAAGTCCTTAATCTGTTTATGTGATGAATTACATTTATTGATTTGTGTATGTTAAGCCATCCTTGCATCTCTGGGACAAAACCAACTTGGTCAAGATGTACAATGTTCTTAATATGTTGAAGAATATGTTTTGCTAGTATTTTATTAAGGTTTTTACATCTAAGTTCATCAATGACGTTGGTATGCAGTTTTCTTCCTTGATGTGTCCTTATCTGGTTTTTTGTATGACTGATACTGGTTTTCATAGAGTGAATTTGGAAGTATTCCGTCTCTTTCTATTTCATGGAATGATTTAAAGAGCATTGGCGTTAGCTGAATGCTACCAGACCTCTAAAGAAGAACTGAGAATCAAC